AGCCTTCACAGAACTGAAGGAGAGAGCCTGTACTGCCACAGGAGTATCAACTCCCAGTGTCAAAACTTCAACTTACTTCTAAAATAAGTATCAGCAAAGCTTTTTAGCCTTTTCTCACTATGGACAGTATCGATTTGAAATGACTGTAGTTACACTCTACCCTGCCTGCCTCAAGGATATGTTCTACAACTGAAAGGTGAACACAGTTTCAGTGAATTACACACAAGATGTAACCTGTTCACTGTGCTAACATTATGTTAACTCTAGTAAGATGATATATTCTTCATTAAAAGGAAAAATGATCCATACCTATAGGGTGAATTACCTCTAAGGTTGTTTTTGCTGCTCTCCTGATGATTGCTCTGCTGTACAGATTAATGTTTAATGTGCAATTTGTCTTATCCATGTTACTTTGTACTGCTCATACATTGAGGTACTTGGATGAAACTTGCCCAGTGGTCTGCTCAGTCCACAACATAAATAACAATAATTGATTCCCAATCTCTCCCATTACACAGTCTGACTATTAATGATTAAGCCATTTATGGAGGCAGTTCCACAAGCTCCAGCTGAGCAAAGGAAACACCAACCTTTGCTTTTATGGTGGTATTCTTCATAACACCACTCAGGGAGGGGTCCAGTATCTCTTACAGCCTCCATGACCCTGCTCTCACAGGACTCTTTCTGCATTGTTGGAGTTATTTTACTGCATAACAACTGCAAATTTTTCCTCATGTTTATCAGATTTGGACTGAAGTGATTTCAGAAAGACAGAGCTTCTTATACTGTTTTGCCTTTGACAAAACAGAGGCCTCATGTAGAAATCTTTAATTGGAAAATGGAACTATTAAGTGTGATATGTTGCTACAAGGCAAGCAGAGAACCAGGGATCAGTGACCTGAACTGTACAGCTGCAGCTGGAATTTGTTCTTGGAGGCCATAAAGAGACATGGAGACCTCTGGAGGGTTTTGTGGAGTTACATCCCTAAGTCATTCTTAACAAAAAAACCAGTCTGGATTAGTGATTACCTCTGATTTTTTTTTTTTTGAAAAGGCAAGAAGGTGCTGGTACCTTCTGCTTCCAAGGCTGAATAAACATTTTGCACTATACAGTAAATAGATAAAATGCTTGAGTAACCTTTGAAAGTAGGGTGAATTAGGTTCTACTCCAAATCAAACAGCTGTTGTAGTGGCTAAAATAATCTTCCTCTAGTTTCTTCTTTCTGGTTTAACATTTTGAATTCTTCCCTATCACTCAGTTTAGCAAAAAAGGGTAGCAAATTTTTGCTTATTACAAATAAGGAAATATTTAGGATATTTCTCAAGAAATCAAGAGTTGTGTGTTAAATCTATTCAGCACTTGGAAAGCAGGATTAGGCAAGGACCACATTTCCCTGTCTTCTGAATCTGATTTTTTGGTTCTCACACATTTTGTAAGAACTCAATGCAGGCACTTTCTAGGCAGCCTCAGAGCTCAAAGACTTCTTTCTGCCATGTAGAGGATGGTTTAATCCTCCTTTAAATGGGAGTTTAATGGCATTTAAGTACGGATAATGCTTAGATGGAGACAGCTCTGTGCACACCAACACCGTGAGCAGATGTTCTGAACATTGCTGTCTCCAACGGGAATTTAGCCACCTAAGTCAAATCTTTCTGTGGGCTCATAACTCTTCAGTGCATCTGGACCTCATTATCCTGATTAAGAGCCTTCCAGGAGTCAAAAATGCATTGTGTCATTGGGGTATTTCCCTGTTCACAAATCCATGTGCTCCTCCCTTCTGTGCACTTTGGACTCTGCACTCCTAGCACACTTGCACCCTCTGGAACAAGGAGTACAGAGGGGTTACTTGAGGCATTCAGCACGTAGCCATTCTTTTTTTTCTGGTCTCCACAATCTTTCCCTTTCCTGCCATGACCTGAGCAAAAGAAAATTTGCATATCCTAGTGTTAGATAAAAGTATTGGCTTTAAATGGCACTATCTTTCTTGGAAATCTGTTAATTCTCTTTTATGTAGACGTAGAGTTCTCCTCTATAGTCCCTCTCGAGATAACTGTCTTTTGTTTATCAACTTCTTCACTCTAGAATATTGCCAGCATCATGCTTTCAAACTAAAAGGTGAGAACTTGGTATTCTCAAGTTTTTCCCCTGTTAATTGCTATTTATCAGTCATAAGATAAAAACTACTGTCTCCCTGGCAAGCAAAAAGAGCTCATAAGAGTCACAGCTTAGAGTCCTGTTTGTTCATTTCAATAATATTTGTTCCAGTAATTAATGTGTCTGCTTCAATAAATGCATATAATAATTTTTAAGTAATATATTTTTATAATTTTAATTAACTTATATAAATTTTTCAAGCACTTGGCCATTCTTACACATGGGGACTAGGGCCTGGTCCTGCAATCAGTGCATTTCCTCTACCATAAAACATCATCCAGTGAAGAGGTTCTGAAAAGGAACTGAGATGCCTTTTTGACTAATGAATATCCCAGTGTAACTGAGCAAATTTTCATTGAAATGAACTGAAATCAATTCTCACTGATAAAATTGCTTTGTGCTCCTGATTAAAATTAGTAAAGGCATGCCCAAAACTGTAGGTACACCTTGGCCAACTGAGAAATATAGAAATAATTTTAGGAATAGCCCCCCAAAAAGGTAACAGATGAGCTTTGTGAAAGGCCTCAGATTAGTCCTATTCTTTTTTTTTGCCCGTGGTTACAGTTCTAATTCTTACCATGCATTTGCGATCATCCACCCCGGATAAATCCTCCTCAAACTCCTTTCCTATATCAAATTCCATGATGTAGTTTCTAAAAGTGCTTAGAGTTTTAATGATCATATGATCCCCATCCTGAAGGATTTCTTTGTCAGGCTTTACCAAGTTTGCTATTTTTCTTACGGCAACGTTGACATCTGAAAAAGAAAAACAATTATTTTGATCCAGAAAAGTCGTCCACAAAAATAAGCTTGTCACTTTTTGGGAGAACTAAAAGGAACAAAGATAAATAAAATGTCCAGATCTTTCAGGCCAGCCTTCTCATCAGGAAAAAGTCCACAACTTAATTCTTTTAACTTCAATAACTTAATGTTTCAATTTTCTCATTTCGTGGAATCTTAAAAAAATTTGCATTGGGCAGTTCATAAGGCCTTGAGTATTTCTCTAGAAATACTAACACTTAATAATGTACAGTACTGATTCTTTATTAAACATAAACATTTTACTCTTTTCAAATTATGGTTTGAAATCTGCCCCCCCTTCAAGCTATGTAGTTTAATCCCTGTTATTGTAAGCTTCAAGATGATAAAAAGTAGAGGCTGCTTAAGGTGAAATAATTTTCCTTAAGGCAATTCTTAAAGTGCATTCCTGAAGAAAACATTTCTCATGAAAATGATTTATGACTATACAAAAAAAAAATAGATTAATGCAAAGACCAAGGTGGCATTTATTGATTATTTATTGAAGAAGTACAAAGGGGACCTTACCCAGTGCTTTCAGATACTCCTCAAAATTGTCATTGCTGACCATTTTCCAGTACCCATTGAAATCCACAGGCATCCCTACTTTAGGGAATTGTCAAAATCCAAGCCCTGGAAGCGAGTGTTGATGGTGCCCCACACAGCTCACTGCCTTTCTTCGGGCAAGCTGCAACTCTGCTTTCTTTTATCTCGTTTTTAGCCCCCAGAGCTATGCAAGTCCTCCTAATCCGATTAGTGCTGAAGTGCTGCCTTTAAACCCTTCCACAAGGCTGAACTCAGAGGTTCTAATGACACCAGGATGACTTGATTTAAACCCAATGAAACTTTCACCTTTCATGTAACTTCTGTAAGGGAGATCCACTTTAACCACATTACTCTTCATTTCTCATGCCACTCAGAAAAAAAGCCTTTTAAATAGCTTTAGTTTAGGATATCAGCCAAAGCTATACAAGGGCTTATCTTGTATGGTTTTTATGAGGCAAAATCTTCTTTCTTGAATATGTTTCAGCTACTTTATACCTTCTTCTTTCCAGAAAACAATCATACAGACTCTTTCAGTGAAAGCAATTTGGGTCTGGCTTTACTTCAACTTGTTCCCCAAGCTCCTTCATTCTAGAGAACTACCAGTGGAAGCTGTTTGGCCAACTAAGGGTTCTAAAGGGCCAGTGGAGTGGAAACTTGTATTAAGAAGCAGTGGTTAGCTGTGTATATTGATAAATGCTACATCACTACTGAACATGACATTTAAGAAATTTTGAAACACAAAAATAACACTTTAAGAGTTTATATATTCTTTGAAGGTGTCTTCTGTCAGAAATGAGAAATACTGATTCAGCACAACAGGCAACCAGTACAGAAGAGAACAGATTTTTCTGGCTAAAATTATGGCTCAAAGACTGAGCCCTATTAATAATTTCATTTATTTTCCACTGTTTATTTTCAAATGGAACAAGTGATGTTCCTCTTGGATATATTGTCTACTCTGGGGCTTTGGCAACGACTTACCCTTACAGAAGACTCTGGATCAGAGAAGTAAAGAAACCCACTTTAAACGTGGGGATGAGGATTGTCTGGAATTTGAGAATGCAGAGGCTCAAAAGTGGCGTAAGTGTTACATGTGTCTTTAAGTGCTTGCATGAAAGAAAGATATATTTCCATCTCTTGGCCAAACTGCCAAAACTCAAAAAGTTTTTTAGGGTCTTATAAAGTCAAATTTTAGCACTAACATATATTTAAACATATCTGTATAAAGTTACAGTTCATTATATTTTGCTGTTTCAAACAGTAAGCCACCTTCCCGCTAAAACAGTCTGTAAGATTACAGAATTACAATTTAGGAAAGTACTATGTTTGACCTTTAAGCATTACTAAAGATGACCATTCATTATGCAGATCTCCTTTTATTTTCACAAGGAAGCTGTTCTTTTGATATTTTCAGCTGTGCAGCTGAGCATCCCCATTTGCTTAAGCCCTGCCACAGGAGGATTCGCTGGTTTAAAACACCACATGATTTCAAGACATTTGGGACTGATGTGCTTTCTTTTTATTAACAAGAAACAACTTGCTGAAGAAATTCCAGCGGACAAACTGGCTGTGTGTGGAGGTATCAGTCCCTCGGGGGGGTTCCTGCTGGGTTCTGCAGTTTCAGAGGCTGCAGCAGGTCCCCTTCGTTCCTCCTCTCGCTCTCCTCCGTGTAGATGTTGTGCTGGGCGATGTAGGCTATCACCGAGTCTGGCAGCAGGTATTTGACGCTCAGCCCCCTGCGCAAGGCAGAGCGGATCCGTGTTGCACTGATTTCATTCTGAATCCATTCTTTCACCAGGAAGATATTGTGCTGGAATTGAGTTAAAAGGTCTGATTCCTTGATATACTGAGAGGGATCAGAGCCAGCCCGGCTAATACAGACCAAACCAAACTTTTCCACTATTTCTTTGATGTCTTCTTCCTTCCAGAGATTGGGGGTCTTAAATGTCTGTAGAAAATCAGCTCCACAGAGCAGCTTTAATTCTGGTAGAACTGGAAAGACAACAGGAAATAAGAGATGTCTATCCTTGCTCAGTTTTCTAGGAAGTTTTTACTTAAAATTAGTTTTAACTCATCACTTCATGCCCACCTCCCCCCTATTTAAAAATAATTTAGCTTTACTCCAGTTTGGTTTTGGTGATTTTTTCAAAAGGCTGCAAGGACAAAATCAGTTTAGATTTTATGTGTCTCGTCACAATCACTTTACCACCTACTTCATCATCACTCAGCATATCAAATATTATCAGTACAAAGGTAAAAGAGAATTCTTCCTCCACTCAAGCAAGCCAAAAAGGGGGAGAAACAAATGAAGAGAATGATGACAAACTGTATCTAATCAACTGCCTTACAATAACCTAGTTAGATAACCTACCAAATTTTATTTCACTTTTAGACAAATTTGAATGGGCAGAATATTTTACAGATATTTTGTGTCACATGGCCATGGCATTTTCACTTTGTATCTTGTAGGAATGACCAAGGATACTGCACCAGTACATTTTTTTCTGTTTTCTCCCCATTTCTTATTTGCTCTCCACTGCCTAAGCCCCAGCACAGAACTATCTCTTTCCTCAAATCATTTCTATGTAACTCATCATTATTCCATCTGAGTATTTTCCAAACACTGCCCAGGTATTTTCACAGCCTTGTATTCACGTGAATACAAATGAAGGGGAAGGATGGAGGTATTGCCTCCATTTTACACTTATTTGTGGTTGTAGGTGGTTAACACATCTGCAAGTCTTCTACAAACTCCTTAAATGGGCAATTCAGAAAACAAGAAACATCCCAGTGATGATGCACAAAAAGCAGACCTTTTTTTTCTCTACCAACTGTGAAGATACAACTCATCAACAACCATGAACAACTGAAATGTATTATTCATGTCCAAGAGAGGCTGCAATACTACAGGAAAAATGCAAGGTATCAAAAATCTAGCAGCATCCTAGCAAGTCACAGGGGCAGGGAATATGATTAAATAGGAAACCCAGAACTGACATTGTTCCAGGACCTGCCACACTTTTGCTGTCAACAGAAGCTTTTCTGGCCAGAAACACAGTAAACATCAAGGCATCAGCATCACTGGTGTGCTATCCAGATACTTTGTTTTCCAATACTAGAATTAGAATTCTAAGTAACCCCTGTATTTTTGATATTTTTTATTCATATATTCTGTGCTTTGCAAAACAAGCAGGGCCACAACATACATCTCTGACATAGCTAAAGATATGCTTATAAAACCCGGATTTAATACAGCTCCAAGGCCTCCTGTCTGAGTGGGAATTATTACAAAACACTGTACCAGCAGTTCTATTGGCATGGCTTGTTTTTGGCAGGCAGCTCCAGCCCTCAACACTCACCAGCTACTCTGTTCAACTTTTTCATTGTCAGTGTAACCTGGTACAGCTGCACAGTTTTTAATACTAAACAAAGAGTCATGTTTACAATTATGAACCAACCTGGGTGCTGGCAAGAAAGGGAATCCCTGGTGGATCTTTCATGGGGATGTTTGTTTTCCATGAATTCCTTCTTGGACTGGAGCAATCTGAGTGATTCATTATAATGGTGCCTGCATTTAAAAGAAAGGCTTCTGTGTGAGATAATCCTCTCAGAGATGCAACAAAGCGATTACCTGGCACTTTCCCCTTCAAGAACAGAGTCTGCTTTTATACACTTTGGATTGGAATACAATTTGTTAAGAATTTGGCATATTCACTCTGCCATGAGATTAGTATCAATGTAGTTAACATTTTGTGGAATTCACAAGCAATGTCCTTTCATGGCATTCTGGTTTTTAAATTCCTTTTGAAATTATGGCAATTTTGGTAGCAAAAAAAAATTCATTACAGTTAAAACATTGTGGAGGTTTTCACTTGAAACAGGATTAAATCACACTCCAGTCATTAGATTTAAGTTCTTGATTAAATACAACTCCTCATGATCATGTTTTTAGAACATGTGCTCAGATTTCAGGAGGAGACATTTTTGTTCTCTCTCCTCCTCTTCTCCATAAAAACATGTTCCCTGAGTTTTCACCTTGTGGTCTTCCCCTTCATTTTAATTGAAAGAATTCTGAGAAACTAAAAATATGCAATTCTTGTAAGATTTTTGACATCTGCTGTGCTTCTAATTTTACTGAGCTCAGATGCATGATGGCAGTCAAGGATCCCTTTGTCAGTTTTTCCAAGTTTCTATTACTTTATTCTTTTGCTGCTCCTGATCACTGGTGCCCCCCTGCAATACTGGTATTGCTACCTCATGTAGGGGCCTTTTCTTTGATCATGAGGGCAAGTGCCAGTGTCAGATCCAAACACCTCAACTCCCTTCCTTCCAAATCAGCATGGCCTTAACTATTTATAACAGTTCCAGACTTGCCCCATCCTGAGCCATGCTCAGGTGCTGCTCACATTGGCACAAACCAAAACTGCTTCAGGAAACAAGCTCATGGTTAGACAGGACAGGCAGACCCAGAGTCACATCAGTGTCCAGTCTCTGTCTAGCACATCCAGAGCTGACATGACCATCAGCTCTTGTAACTGTACCAAAGCAAAGATTATGAGTTGCAAGGTCCAGTCTGAATTCAGTGCGTGTACAAAGCCACAGACGCCCTCGCAATGTCTGGTGTCAGGAACGAGTTTATAGTTGAGGGATTTTAAAGCACACTCTTCAAATCCTGTAAATACTTCAGCCACAGCAATAAGTTGCACATGTGCCAAGGACCTGCACCCAGACAGACTGCAAAGCAACCCCCAGTAATTTTTAGTGCTCAGCCACTGGCTAAAGAAACTGCACAGACAAGAGGTGAGGGACATATGGTAGCAGAGAGGAGGTACCAGTAGCTTGGTCTGTGCCTTCCTACACTTCTAATTTTAATCCTGTCTTGCTGTAAACAAGATGCTATGTATAGTCAGGCACACTAACTGTTTATTGTGGTCTGACATTCTTGGGCCATGATTCAAAAATAAGAATGCTTGGCAAAGAGCTCCCTGCAGGAATAACGTTACAGGACTGCCGGGCCTGAACTGCACAGGGGCTGTTCAGCAGGAGTTTCAAGGGCTGGAGCAGGAGGGTTATGTTGCTGTAAAGATACACCAAAAAGTACAACCAATCTGCCAGTTTATTAAGCATTTTCTGAACTGTGTATGAAGCTTTGAGTCACTATTGAACTCAACCACAAGCACATCTCAACAAAAGTTAGGTAATGCAGATCTTTGCCAATTCTTAATTACTTACGAGTATATCTGCACAACAATCAAATCTACAATACAAGAGGAGTGAATGGAGCTCTTTGGTTACTGACAGTACTGTTTCCTTGGCTAGGAAGGATATTCTCAAGCAGCAGATAAGTGGAAATTAGCTCTATTATGTTCCCTCCTGCTCTCAAAAAAAAAGGCTTGGGATAGTCTCCAAAATTTCCATTCTCATTTAACAGCACCACCATAAGTGGGATATGAGCTTTGCTGCTTAAAATTCTTTTATGTCACAACTACTTGTGAGCCTCTGCAAAATCCACAGATTTTCATGAAATGTGACATTTTTATCGCACTCAGTTAAAACAAGCACTGTAAGAAAAGGCCATTCATGTATCTCAGGACAAAATGTTCCTCTGCAGTTAAGTGTACAACTCAAAATACTGATAAGAAGAGACATTTAGGTAAAATAATGATTTTTACCTTTGACTTGCAAGAGAAATATCTCTTTCTATTAGTACTGCAGTTTCCTACCTGAGGGAGTTATAGAGAAGGCAGCAATTGCTCCTTGGTTCTTTGAGCTGGGAAGAGCTATAGACTAACCTTGAAAACACGTGAAGAACAACAACTCCACAATAAACAACTGCCTGTTTATACTTAGTAAGATTCTAGCTCTAAAACCAGCTCTTTTTCATCTTTTTTTTACCCGTGACACTTAAAATACAATATAAAGCACAAACACCCACATGTGCCATTTCATCAGAACGCTGCTTCCCCATTCAAGGGACAGGGTTCAGCATTACATTAGGGCACTGGTTCAGCTCATTAATACAGGTCTCAGAATTAGGAAAAAAAATATTTAAGCTCATTTCTCTCCTTAACAAGCAGCCACTTTAACATTTTGTGAATTTAATCATAAAGCTAGAGGTTCATTTTCTAGGCAGACAAGAAGTCTGGCTGTTCGTACCACATTGATAACTACTTTGCCTGAGCAGAAAATTATACATGTAAGTTTTATTTATTGTACCTCTTATCCTAAAGGACTCTGAAGTGGATTTACAACTTCCAAACCCAATCTTGCAAGCAGTACTCGCTTGGACTGTGCAAGATCAAAGCCTTTGTAAGTAGGATCACCTGATCTGAGATTTGGGACTGTGTCCTCTGGAGGAAAATAGTTTTAGAGAAGTGAAGTTTAGGACAAACATCCCAAACCCAGCCACTACTGTAGAAGAGATCTTTTGGTGATTTCTCACACTGGGATATACAGTTGTGATTCGAGAACAGAACAGAGTTTTCTGCAGGGACAGGGGGGCATTGTCAAGCCTTCCTCCCATCCCAATCCTATTCTGCTCCCTGGAGGGGAGGGGCAAATGGAGCAACTGGATGTCTGTGTTCCCTCAGTGAAGCAAATAAAAGCCAAACTAAAAGGCTCCTTGAATTGTTTTGTAAACATGTAGTGAATTCTTATGTATGCTTTTGTAAAGTAACAGGTCTGGCTTTCAACTGCTTTCACAGGAGCCAAAAGATCTTTCACGGCAGTTGTTGGAAGGCACAATTTAGAGCCTTAAGCTACATGAACACCTGTTTCCACTTAAATAGTAACCTAAAAAATGGGGATAGAAATGAAGAATCAGTGACAGCTCTTAGAGCACATTCGCTGTAGACATCCAGGAAGTCTTTCAGTTTAACTCTATCTGTTGACTTCTGTAGCACCTGTGTTTCCAAAAGATGGTTTAGCACAAGAACTTCGTGTTTTCATACCTTGCCTCATAATGCACTTATTACCATATGGGAAAAGGCATGTTTCCAGGTCCTTGCATCAAGTTAACAGGCTTGGGACAAATTGTTTAATTTTTCCTTCCAGCACAAAGCCCCAGCAAACTCAAAGAGATTTTGAAGAAAACATCAGCAGTGATGAGCTTGGGTTTAACTTGCCATTAGAGTTAATAAGGAAACTTTTCAAGGAAGTGTGAATAGATAAACCTGGAGGCACAACAATGCTAACAAAGCTAATCTGGAATAGGGATGCTCCTGAAGAATTGAATTGTTTGTAAACCCTCTCACTTTCTGATTATGATCTCTATTACCTGCTTAGAGACTTAAAACCAAGAAAAACAACATGAGAGCCAAGAACTTTTCCAGCAGAACTCTTTCAGTGGCCAGAATTTTGCAGAGGCTTTCCACATGCATTTAACTACTTAAAGGGCATTAGTGCAGTGCTGCGGTTATTACAGAGGTTTGGGGAAAGCTTATCTGCTTTGCACTAGCAAAGGAAAGCCTCCTGGTGGGGAATCCTGACTTCTGAATGAATGAAAGGGATGTGAATTTTCATTGCTCACAGGTACAGTACTTTATTCCACAGCAAGTGAACACAACCAGACATGCTCTGCTTTGCCTGGCTGTTTTACAGGAGCGAGGTCTGTGCACTCACCTGGAAGACCAGCACATTTTTGGCAGTCAGCAATTTCATAAAGACAGAAAAAAAGATAATGTAATCACCTTAATACTTTGACTGTCTCTGTCCATGTCTCCTGCTCACTCTCCCAAGGATCAACTCGAATCCAGTCAGATGTCTTCAGTGCTAGTTTAGCCATTGCTATCCTGTGCCTTGCTGAAACCAAGCCTTTCTTTCCATAGTTGTCATTCACAGGAGACATTATGCCCTCAATCACCCGATACCTTCCTTTTGAAAAAAAGAAAAGAAAAAAGAAAATTATGTCCTCTTCACAGAACCTTGAAACTTTAGGGTGGATAACACCTTGGGAGCTCATCTAGTCCAACTTCTTCAAAGGTTAACTTTCATGGTTAACTACAAAATTATAAGACACTATGAACAACTTGTTTTGGTGTTGTTTTTAATACATTAACAGCAATTAAAATGCAGGTTCTTTGTTCCTCTGTGAACTGCTCACAATTACTATCAATATGTTTATCCTGTTATATGATCCATAAAGGAAAACTGGATGAACAGACAATTTTAAAGCAAGTAGAGATATTCATAATTTATGTTGCAAAGTACCAAAATCATTAGATATGATTAAGTTTCATAGTCAAGTAATTACAGCTTTGATATAGCCAGAGTAATGGATGACTTAACTAATACTACTTTGTTCTTAAGCATCTGATGCTTGTTTATCAAAATCATTGTCCCTTCTTGTGTTAAAGCAAGAATTGTGGCACATTATTACAGCTGTGATTAATGTGATTCAGACACATCAGAAGATTCAAGACCAAAGATGGGGCTAATGGGGTCTAAAATGAAACTTATAAACACCAGCTTAGCAGCCACTAAAGCCCCTTTCTGTCAGGCTGATCATGTTAATTAAATTTGAAAATAGGCCCATATTTTTCTACTCCTGTGACATCGTGGAATCATTGACACATCAGGCTCTTACTGTTAGATTTTGCAATTCTGTCCTCAAATCAGAAAACAAAAATGTAGCTCTCGTTTTGATAAACCATCAGTCACTACTCTAAGCTGGAACCCTCAAGAAATGGAGAGGAGAGAAAGGGTGTTTCAACTGAACAAAAAGGAAACAAAATTATTTCTGATGTAGCACGTGCATTTTAAATAGCTATGCTGAATATGATACTGAAGGGGAAAAATCATCTTCTTTTCTAATTCAATTGTTTTAACAAAGAAACTTAAATGCAGCATTATTTATAATGAAAACAATACCCCTAGACTCATAATTTCTGATACTGGCACATGACAATTTAATATTCTAAAATACAATCTAGTAACTTCACATTTATTTTGATGTAATAGGGTAAAATTTTCAAAAGTACTTCACTGGACTTAAGATGGACTTAAAAAAATAGTATGAAAATTCAATGAGATTTGCAACCTCTTAAAATGTCAGTTCAAACCATCCTCTGTTTTAAAACATTCTCATTGCAGACAAAATGAGCAAGATAAAACTTTCCAGAAACATGCAAAGATGTGCATATAATTAAGTCCATTTCTTGATCTGAAATTGGAAATAATTTCACTTGATTTATGAACAACAATTATTCTCTGGTAGTCTGATATTATACAGAGCTATAACAAATTGTTATTTAAAGGGAAAGAAAGTACAGTTTGAAGTCACTTCTCATTTAAAGGGAAAGAAGCTACAGTTTGAAGTCATTAGTATGTTAACCTTATTAAAAGGTTAACAATAATTTTATTTTCCACATTTCAGCTTTTTCTTTTCAGTTCCTACAGACATAAATTGTTCCCTTATATTTCAAATGAATATATTAAGTGTAAAAATTAAATTTCTGTGAGATCATGCTAACCAAGAACGAGTCTGTCCTATCCCTGTGAGTTGTAATGATTTCAGTCTTCAGTCTGGCCTAGAACTGCATAAATGGGCTAAGAGCTTCTGATGCCATATCAGCTTGTTCCAAAGCAGAAATGAAAACAACTAGAAGGAAAAAATGAAGGTACTTCAGCACTGCCAGTCAAACACAGGAGGTGTTTGAGATGATTCACAGCTGAGTAACCCACACTATGCAAACACGATGCCCAGGAGAGCCTTCCACCTAAAATTACAAGCTCTAGCTGTCAAAACATAGGAAAACATTTTATTATTGGCTGGTAATAACTTGTGTCCTCTTCAGTAATTTGAAAGTTCACCTATTCAAATATGGCCCTCAATTCTGGCAGGCATGCAAAGAGAAAATCATTAAATTCTGTCCCCTTGGGCTTTTCTTAATGTCCACTGCAATTCTCTTCTCTGTCCCATAAATTATTATAGGTAGCTTTAAACCTTTCTTGGTCCAGAATTATCTTCAAATTCTATTTCTCTGGAATAGAATTTTTCATCCTGAAGTGTGTTATTCTTGCTTGTCCTAAGTATGTGTAAAAATCCTCCAGGCCCTTAAGTGGCTTTGTTTTTCAAAACATACCTATCACAACTAGCAAAAAATTTCCTCTTGCTACAAACATATATTCTCTAAGAACTGTTTAGGAAAACTTGTTAATGGCTAGAAAACTGAATATAACAAAAGTAATGAAACAAAAGCTGTCTCTCAAACATGTTAAAATAGACTATTAAGTAGGTATTTAGTTTTGCATAATAAAAGTCACTGTCAATTGTCACAAACACTAGCACAAATGGTAATGCTGAATTAATGTATTAATACTAAAGCAAATTTATCAAATGGCAATGTCATATAAAATTGTATGTGTACTTTGGTTGGGCTTCTAAAGATTTATTTCTTCTAGTAGTAAGTCTGGAATTCACTGTGAGAAACTATACAAAAGGTAAATCATAAAAGTAAATAACCACTACAGGAATCCAAATAAATGAGATACTTCCATACATTTAACTTTGACCCATGACTCATTTTTCTCTCAGTGTCACAGGAAAACCCCCAACAGACTGGGAAGCTCTGCAGCTTTCTGGTGTGATCCTCCCCAGAGAAGAGGAATGACCCCACTGCTGTTCTTCCTTCCTTCCCCCAGCAGGCAGCAATGGCACTTGGGGCCTCAGTGCTGCTGGATTTCATTCCTTTTCCAAGATGCTACTAAGTGAGTATTATGAAATAGTTCTGGTTCAGCATAAGCAAAATTTCTAGAAACTTTCCTCCCTGCTGAGCAGTGCCCACAAAACATAAGTCTCTTCTGCATTTCCATGATAATTGAGTAAAAGGCAGAGTTAGACTTGCTGGAAGCTTCTCTGACATCAATGAAATATGACACCAACTCAAATACAAAATTTTGCCTCCCTGCAGATATGGGCATTAAAGACCATGTCATATATCTCTCATCCACTGGGAAAAAAACAAAGGCCAGCTAAGAAAAACCCAACACCCCCTCCAAAACCATACCCAGAGTAAACCACCAAAAAATTCCAAGCCACCAAATCAAAAGCCCTAAACACACACACAAAAATCCAAATCAATACCACGCCAAAAGAAACTTCCACCAACCTAAACACCAAAAAAACCCCAAACCCACTGAAAACCAAAGACCAAAAAATCTCCCCTCAAACCCCACGCACTTTACTCAAGATGACAGCACTCAACTCATCACCTACCTACGGTTTCTGTCCTGGGCATCCAGTCTGCAAGCATAAGAGAAAGAAAATTCCCTGGACTCCTGTTTCTTTCTAGAGACTCTCCCTAATTTTCTTTCAAGCACAGGACAAGATAACTTCTACACAGTGCACTCATGAATGATTGTAGGACACAGGATTGCAAAGTTTTTGGCGTTGGGTTTTGGAAGGTTTCTCCAGGAATAAGTATTTTCTTTGCTTCATTAAGCCTGTTCTAAGGGCATAAACCTACCTACACATCTCAGATTTAACCAAATGCATCTGATGAATGGTTTAAATTTTACTGCATAGTAGGTACACAACATCAAACACATAAATAACAACTATCACTCTGCTGAGGAGTCAGTTCTCCTTTGTGAGGGAAGTGGCAGCTATTTCAAAATGTAAAATGATGTAAAATGTGCTACCAGCTGTGAACAGTGTTGGAAAATAAGTTACAATATAATGTTCTAACTGTCTAAATTGAAACAAGAGCTTACCTTAATGTAAGTTTTCATTTCTTTGTTGAAACAACTGGCACACTTGCTTTTACAAATACAGATAATTACTGGACTATTTAATTTCTTTTATCAGCCTTCTGTGTGTGACGACACACAGACTAAAATCACATGACAAAATTCTGTATTGAAGCAATAGCAGTGGTTTCCCTTGAACCCACAAGAAAGCCACAATTATCCTCCCAGAACTCTCAGTCTACTAAGACAAGGAAAACAAATTTGTCATTGTTCCATTTAAACTAAAATGTTACTTTTATTTATAAGGTATAATTAACTGGGGAGGAGGGAGGGATATCTAACATCTTTGTTCAGATTAAATATCAAAAGGATATCATCCTAAGCTTACCTTCCCATGACATGTACACCATGCAAGCATGAAAAAGGAAAAGACAATAAGCAAGACTTTTTTTACTTCTTGTTCAGTCTCCTTCTGTGAAAGGAACTCAACAGAAGGAAAATCAAAGGGGAAACAATTCAGAAACCATTGCATTGACAGTGAACATCCATCAGAGCAGTAATGGACAGTCTTTGAGGAGAGTTCTCCATAGGGTGGATGGCTTTGCCTTCCTCACTGCAGAGCGCAGGACAGACGCAGTGACAGAATGAGGTGAGGGGTGCAAACACGGCAGGGAGAGGTGCCATGGGAGCACCAGACAAACACAACTCATACCCACCTGGCTGAGTGAGCTGCAGGGCCTGAAGGTGCACATTTACCTCCACAGTCAGACAGCCACTAAAACACACTGTGGCTCCAGGAACTCCTCCAGCAGCTGAGTAACTGAGCATGCACAGTGACCTCAAATAAATGCTCAGCCATCTCCACACAGCACATCCACAATAAACCTTTCATAGCAAGATCTTAAACCCAACTTCACTTCTACAGTGTTCACTGGATCTGGACAAAAAGGAGTATCTATGAAAATGAGTATTTCCCCAAGAAAGGATGGATAAAACCACCATTTTGAGAGTAACAATGTGAGTAACAAAATACTGTAGCTCTACTCATAAGACACTTTATTCTGAAACGCTCTCATCCATGTAACATGACTGGGAAGCAATGGTTCTCTGCAGCAATGCTACAGTACAAGAGGCTGTGATTCCAAAGGCAAATACAGAGGTAACACAAATACCACTGCAAGCTGGGGAGGCTCACCCTTTATTCTGCTGGGTTTTATAGTAAGACAACAAAACTTGTGGAACAGAAACACACCTACACTTCTTCCACTTAGGAAAGCATAATTCAGAAAAAGGTTAGAAACTAAACTGTATGCACTGCTAACAGTATTCAGCAAATGGAGTTTGATGTAATGGAAGTGTTTTCATCAGGGATTTGATATGCCTTGAGATGTCTTAAATTCATGCTTTTGATTTGCACCTCTGCAAAGTGCATTCTATAATTCTTTTGCAATGCTAAGCCACACGTGCATCCCTCTTCATGCACCTTTCAAGGGTAAAGCCTAACACAATGAACCAGGTACTGCTCTAGCCAGGCAAGCACTGCTGTAAATCTTGTAATGAAAAGAAAACAATCAAGTATTTGTTTCCTTTGCATTTTTTAAGCTAAGGCAGTTTTAACTAATGTCTGTCAATATTTATTGTAAATGTAGTGAGTAACTACAGCTGACTGGATCGTGTTCCAGCCCTGTATCTCATACTGCTGCACACACTCAAAACAGCAGCATCCAACTGGTGTTCTTCTGTTGTTTTCAAATTCCAGTTATCAGACTTGTTGCAGCAAAAACCAAACTGAAGCCTGCATTTATGCTGACTTGCTGGTGTTACAATCTGGTCCTATCCCTTTCTTGAAAATATCATTCCACTTCAGTCAAATGCAGCCCTAGAGCAACATTAACTTCCAAATTCTCAAGGCTGGTTAGTGACTAATTATTCCTTGGACTTCTCAGCTCTGCTGTCCAGCACTGCATCTGACACAACCCATTGATGGTGGCACATTTTTTTCCCACCTTTTCATAAGCTAGGAACTCATTATTCTACAACTACCCCTTGCGTGTCTTGTCACATAGAAACATCTTAGTCTTTCATCCCCTTCTCCTCTGCCCTCTATCCCTTTTGGTCTTATCTGGAAACATGGTGATCTAATATCTCACTATTCCACTGGCAATACTTGGGAAACAAGATTATAAATATCTTACATAGATTAATTCTAGTAATATATCTTTTTGGACTTTATGGTCAAATGAGAAACACATTCAGAGAGAAATAAAAGTATTAGGTATTAACAGACTGGAAAGGTACTTGCTGCAGTCACTAAACTTTCAAGAAACAATTTTAAAACAAGGGATTGAATCTCAGAAAATTTTAGCTGTGTGTGAGGATGTGTAAGGCATCAAATTTGCATGAGTAGATTCAAAATCCAGATAAAGAGAATCATTAGAGTCATCCAGACACATGTTAAATTTAAAAAGCAGCATGACAAGATTTGTTGGCTGAGAAAGGATGAATTACTTCACATGTGGCAATGAAACTGCTTTAGATACCAGAAACTCAATAAAATTTCCTACTTGAAATAGGGATGTATGAAAAATAAGATTAGGCAGCATTTGAAACTGAAGTGATGTACAAAAAGCTGGCAGAGAGAATTACTGGAGCTGTCAGTCAGGATGCACATCAGGGATAGTCATGTCATTCCTAACAGCAAAACCTGACTCTGAAGTCACAGAATCATTAAGGTTGGAAAAGTCCTCTAAGATCATTGAGCCCAACCATTAACACAGCCCTACCGAGTTCAGCACTACAGCATGCCCCCAGTGCCAGATCCACACAGCTTTGGAACACTCCCAGGGCTGGTGACTGCAGTGAGCTCCAGCCAAGCCACTTCCCAACTTATCATCCCAGTCCCATCTGGAATGAAGAACTCCTGCAACAGAACCAAATGAAGCCATTCTCACAGCCTGGTAACAGCCCCTTGGGCTGGGTGATTCCTCACTCCTGCTTCTCACCTCCCCAGGCACTCAGTGTGTGTCAGCTTCCAAGTGCACTGCTCCCTCTGAGGAGGGAATCCCTGGGAATACAGCATCCTCCTCCCTCAGTTCAAACAAACCCTAGCCATGGATCACCATTGTTCTCCAGCCCCACTACCAGCTCCCAGTCTGCAGCTGGGGCTTCTCAGCAAATGAGCTCCAATTTCTCCCCTCCTTGCCTGGGTAACCACAGAACTGGAAACAGGATGAAAATCAGGAGAGGATGACCAATTAACTTCCTGGGTAGGAATGGGTCTACTATCAAACAGGCATCCCAAATCAGTCATTTTCATAGCACTCCAACCCCTTCTGCTTGAGAAACTATCTTCACAGTGGAAAGAAGATCATACAGGAGATTTGTATATCCATACATAAAAACACATATACCTGCACTTACAGATACTTCAAATAAAGCCACCTCAACTTGTGATGGGTAACAGGATTCTTGCTTTGCACTGCAGGCAACCCAGACACAAATGAAGGGTTTCTTTAACACATAAAGCCCTAATACTAGTGAGTCTTCACACATTAAACTAAGAAGTCAAAAGGCAAGTCACACCCTATCCAGAACTAAGCACTGACATTAGAGAGGTGCAATGTAATGCACAATTTCCATTTCAGCTTTTCACAATTTCACTTTTAGCATGATTTTTACCAGACTTCTTTAAGTAACCTGCTCTGAGTAAGGGTTGGAGTCTCATTACACACATCCTGGAGCAGACGAAACCATGAATTGTGATTCAGACAGAGCTATAATTCATTTCCCAGTTCAATCCTTCTTCCAAGGTAATGAAATGTTACTTAAACAGAATTACCAATTGGTCTCACATTACCCTTCTACTCCTTGCACACCTGGGCAGCAGAATCAGTTACAAAATTACAGTGAAAAAAGTCAATTAAAATCTCTTTTTAACCCTTTATTTCCAGTCTTGCAGGAGAAACAAAATAATATTAAAGTTATAGGACAACAGAGACTTGTAGAGGTTGCTCTCTGAGCCAGCTCTGTAATTCTTCCTCATGAGGGTCAAGGTATTCTGACAGTATACAGAGAGTAGGTAGTTGCTGCATTTCCTGAAGAGGGGGATCAGTGGGTTACCAGATTCTCCCCCCGCCTCAGTTTGACAGCCACATTCCTTTTACTGTTATTTGCCCTTCAGGTTCCTACTGAACCACCTCCCTAGGAACTTCTGTCAGATTCCAGTGAACTACAATTCCCTCACTACTGCTTCCAGAAACATAAATGCAAATTTTAGCTGCCAAATGAAAAAAAACCAAACAAACAAAAAAAAAACCCTCAGCAACTAAGGAGCTGATCAAGCTTAGAATTCAATGCCTCTCAGTGGCTCTTCTGATTCTTGCTGAAGTTCCTGATGTTACCCACTTTCTCCTTTGTTGCCAAAACATTCTATCCTGCTGATATCTCACTTTTTTTTTTTTTTTTTTAGTTTATGAACAAATTATTTTTCTAGGATGGAAAAAGTGCCTCTTAGTGAAGATGGATAATGAATAATTAACGTTTCACCTTTTCTCCAGTTTCACCTGGCTGTCAGGACTGCTGACAGGTACCACTTCTTAGTAAAACACAGTGTATCATAAAAGCATGAAATTTGAACGTAAGTGATCCTTCTCAGTTTCAGAATTATTAAGCATACTCCTTCACAAGGCTCAGCCAGTTCCACGAATACGATCCTAAAACTGCTGATAAAACTTTCACTTCATTTGTGTGAACACTCGTTATACTTTTTTAAACCCTGAGCCAAAGGCAGAGGTAATGCTACACTTCCTGCATTGAATATGCCATGAAAGCCTCATATTAAATGATCAATAAAGAGCATTAAAATTAAGCCAGACATAAATGGAGAGCTTATCCAAGCAAGTACTGAAGAGGTTCCTTCCTTTTCCCAGCCAAGCCCTGTGCGTGTGCCCCTCAGCCCCCCCTACTGACCTGTTTGGTGCAGGTGATCTCTAGCCAGCTCAAACAACCGCATGTGCATGTTTGTGATGGGGTTGAAGGAGCCACAGGCTAGAAGAATGACAGGGATCCTGCTCTCCATCCTGACAGCAAAACATTAAAACTCCACCCTAAAGGAAAAAAAAAATTAAAATAAAAGACGCTTGACAAAGAGAAGCCCCTGTCCATTCTTCCTAATCTAAAAGGAGCACCATTCTCAGAGTTGTGTATTCATGGAGCACCAGAGAAGTAGCAGGAGATCAGTCCTGTGTGTTAAAATGTCAGGTACCTCAGTAAAAATGGAGCAGAAATCAGTTTAAATTAGTCACTGTGCTTGGAGCTACTTATTTGCATAGCTCTTTTTACAACTGATCCAGAATATACCTGGCATGGTAAAAACATGTATGTCCCACACACGTCTGTGAATTCAATTTATTTTCCTAGATTTGAAATCTCTACAATGCTCACACCTGTATATCAGACATACAGTATCCTCCTCACGTTCCCTGGCCTCCAGACCTCTCCACCAAATGTTAACTGTCTTCCTGCAGAAGACACTTGCATCCTAAACTTCAGCAGTCAGTCTTGGGTTAACAGACCAAATCCAGTCTGGATTCTGTGCTCTGTTCAGCCAAATCTTACTCTCCATCTGCAGTACAACCAAGTACTGTAGCTCAGAGCCTACCTCTTACTGTTCCCAGGCCTTATTATACCCTTTTTTTTTAACTTCTCTGACTTAGAAAAATTTAATAATAACAGTTACAACAATGTGAAGTTGATGTTTTGTAGCTGCCAACTCTATCAGTTAATTTACAGAGGATTTACAGTTCTGAAGCTTGGGACTGTACCTCTGAACAGCATTCAGTGCACCCTGAAACAAATTTTAATATTTCCACTTGTGACACATTAGCAGTTTGCAAAATTTTATAGAGAAAATTCTTTGAAGCATAAATGCTATCTGTAACTTGAACATTTAGTACTAAATATACATATAAAGATTCTTTCATAATGTTTTTATCTTACTTCACTCATTTCTCATATCTCACATCATACTCAGGGAGAAAAGACTTGCTGGCTGCAGAGCCATTGGAAGTTAGCAACAATTTTATGGTTTACAGTTGTAGCAGCTGCATGGAGCACATTTCACAGCACCCTCCTCTCTCTCTCTCCTCTGCTTTACTGTCCCTGTGTGGACACCAAACAAACTCACACATGAAAACTGTATGCAAAATCTGCAGGCTGTTTATTCAGAAAAACCAACACCAAAGTTTTAGTTTCCATATCAGCAGTCCTGTAAATGCATCTTGATTGTCTTTTTGCCTTGAAACAGTGAGCAAAACATTAGTATGTGAATGGGAGCTCTCACATGTGCTGGTCCATGGCTCTGTGAACTCTCTTCTGTTCTGATGAAGGGTGGTTTATATTCCCATTGCTGATCTTTAATTTGCCATCTTAGCTGAATGATTGCTTTTGTTTTTCTTTTAATTCTCTAGACTACTCTATTTCTCACCTGAAACAAAGGTGTTGGATGGTTTGATTGCAGCTCTTACTCATTCATACCCTGGAGACTCCAGGGAAAGACTTCAACCTGTAATTCTTAATGATAATCAGACAACACCAATAGTGGAAACTCAAAAATCAAGCCAACAACAATAAAAAGACTAAAAACAAACAAACAAACAAACAAACAAAAACAAACCAAGAATGTACTAATATTAAACATGTAATGAAGTTGTGTTGCATAAGATGTTTTATACATATATACACCATTTATAAAATCTAGTCATATATTAAAAAAAAAATCAAAAGAGAAGTGTTTTTATTCCTACTATCCCCAATATAGTGTATCCTAAACCTATTCAACAGGTTTAGTACAACAGTTACAATTTCAAACAAAACTTTCTGATTCAGCCACTATCTTGGCTGGTACTAATTAATTAAAGGTTTAAAATCAATGGAACACCACTCAAAATAAGAGGAAAAAAAAAAAAGAAAGTTAAGTGATTTTTCAGCTAAGCTCTCTTGAGAAATCAAACACAGGAGAGAACTTTAACCACAGAGCCTGTGTGCCCTGCTCTGGGCACTTGTACCAACAGCCCTGGCCAAGCAGGTGTCTCCCTATAAATGCAGTCACCTCCCACCCGAGTGTCTGCAGCGGGGAAAGCTTTCAGCAGCATGGAACATCGTGTGGCAATACACAAAAGGGCAGTTATCATCAAATTTAATCCATATAAAAAAGGGTTTATGATGGACAAATCACTATTAACTTCATTAGAAAATTCCCGCAAGTTCTCTTCCTGTTGCCTCTATTCCTACAATATGTCAATAATAGATGATGTAACAGATGACCACAGCTAAGTTCTGCTGAAAGACAGGAATTAGAGCCATATCTGATTAATTATCAGCAGCACAATGAAGTGCTGAGCAGTGCAGGCTGATTCATGAGCTGTTAAATTAGTAAACTGGAGAACAAGACACTGATCCGTGCACGCTCTGAGGCACTCACCCTTGAGGGAAAATTTCTGCAAAGAACAGAAATAAAAAACCAAATCCTAGCACAGGATTAAAGTGTTATCTCCTCCTGTGAGGATGAATCTAGATTAATTTAGATGAAATTTAGATTTGAACAAGTTCAAAGCTGCCCATTTCCATTCTCTTACTGGGCCACATCATTAACTCATATATATTCATGTAGATGCACTGAGTCCAGCTGAGTTACACCAAATGACATTACAAGAATATTATGGCTGCTAGACGTATTTTCAAAGTCAGAAAATAAAAAGTGCATTTTAGTAGCTGACCCAAACCATAGCAAATCACATTACACAAATGTCCCTTAAAAATATGACTGGATATCAGATTTTCTCACACTGTAAATAATGAGAGCCACACCTGTAACAGAAGTTACTCCAGTCAGTAAGTTCCCAGCATGTGCTGTCACTGAAATCAATCCTCTGCAACAGTGACAAATATTTACCAGTGTATCCCCACCTTCCACTTTAATAATGAACATAAGTACCTGGGTGAGAGAAAAAATTAAAAATGTACAATCTAAGGTGACATTTTATTTACTCATTAAAAAGCTTGTCACCCCAGCAAAGAAGAACAGTTTGTTTCAGTTTTCACTGGAGCAGCAGCTTGTACAACCTTATAAAAATAATCCCTGCTTTTTCACATGTATCTTTGAAATTGCCTCAAAGCACAAAAATAATAAATAATATTAATAATGCATAGGGATCTTTTGCTTAATTTGAGGGGGTACTCACTATTTTTATTCCATCTCTGTCCAGGCAGCAAAAAGATTTCCATGGAGAAGTTACCTCACAGAAAACTGCGATATGTCTGTGGCCCAAACTCCAAGTGCCCTGGTGGCAACCAGAGAAAGCAGCCTGAGCATAAGTGTCTCTTCCTCTCCTGAAATTATAATCCTTCAAATCACAGTAGGATACTTCACTCTTGCAATTCCTTTATTTCAGGCTGTATCTGTGGGGAAGTTCCCTCTCACAGAAGAGCCAACAAAATCTCTTCATCCGTGACATCTCTGAAATCAACCTAAACATCACTTATAGCTGCTTTTACTTTTATTTATTTTTTTCTTCTCAGTACAACTAGTTCTCTGTTTTCAATTTCCATTCCCAACTGTTTCTGCTCCATTGCTACAAAGAACCTGCAGTTGAAAGGAACTAAACAAAAAAAATCACCATAAAAAGTACACATGGATAAAACATGAAAAATATAAATAATAAATTGAGCACAGGATTCAAGCAATCTGAAATATGTGCAAATATTGAACCTCTAGTTAATAATGCTCATGGTATTGCCTTCAGTGATTTTCAAGTGCAAAAAAAATGAGCAGAAATATTCTTTAGCACAATTTTAACAGGATGGTGTTCACAATACCCATAAAACAGTGCCTGAGAGCTCAAGTCAACAACGTAATTTTTTAAGCCTGTGGAGTTGTTGCAAGTTTAGAACTTGTAACTGGAATTACACAGTGGGGCACAAGAGGGTCTGGTCCCAGAGTCCAGCCAATAAGAAGTCCACAGTGATGGTCCCATGAGAGTATCCTATAGGATATATTCCTCTTCATATTCTTAATATTAAGAATATTATATTTTATTAATGTTCTTAATCATCCTGCCAAATAATCATGCTTACAGGCTGCCTCTTGCTTGAACAGCAATAAGGGATGGAACAACTCAGCAACATGGAATTCAGAAACCACCATTCATGCATGTCAACAGTAAACTCCCATGTTTTTAACACGCCTATATGGGCATTTACTAAATGTTTGAGGTCATTAGATTATCTGTTATCCTTAAACAGTAAACATGTAAAGAAAAAACAAAGTATAACAGTCTTAATATTCTTTCTCTGCATCTCTGGGAAAATAACGAAATAATCCCCATTTTGTAAACTGCCCATTGAGCATTTGACAATATTTAGGCACAGAGATCTGTAGCAGTTCCATCTGGTTACAAAGCCAATGATACCTCCCCAACCCAGACTATGCAGAAAATAAGTAAAAAAAGACCATCTTGTCCAACTTCCCAGAGCCAGTTTGCTGGGAAATGCAGGATGTCAGCGTGCATTACACAACAGCAGTCCCTGCACATTTGGCAGCATTTCCACAGGGTCACAGGGACACAACCAACTCCTGGCATCTTCTTGTATTTACTGCAGGATGAGCTTTATAATTACTTACCCAGTAATCCCCTGTGATCACTCAACATCTAACCCTCAGCTCCTTTCCTACTCCTTGTGCCCATATCACACGAATAAATAAGTTTTTTATTACTCTAAGTAAAGCCAGTAGTCATCCTTCTGTTTGCACGTATGGGTCAATCACCCACAAAGAGCAATATATTGATCTACAGAAAAGAGAGGATACATGCAGAACTAAACCCCAGGGTGGTTATTTTTAAGCAAACAAACAGCTGATTTAGTGAAAACACCAACTTGTCTGTCAAAAACAGTCTCTTGTTAAAACTTCAAGTTCCTTTCGAGAAGCCCCTCAGAGTGATTTTTTTTGTCTATCATCATCATTGTAATTTTCTTATAACTAGCAAGATACACTTAGCATAACCTAAGGCAAATCTCAGAAATACAGCTTGCACACAAATGGAAGATATTGAAGCGGTAATGAAAGCATCTTCAATCACTAAAATTTGCTTTTATAAAGCTGGCTTTAAAAGGTAGCAAACTAATGAAACATCTAAAAGCACTACTGTAGAACAGATGCAAAATAATCATATATAGCAACCAGAGGGAAATGCAGGATTTCCAGAAAAAAACAGCAAGACCAAAGTTAAAACATCAACATCCATAATCCCACTAGTTACTTTTGGGTTTCAAAAAAGGGATCACTATTTGCCATCATGCTGTGTCAGGAGCAACAAATCCCTGACAGAGTTTATGTAGTCAAGGAAAGAACATCTCACTGGCTCTTCAGTCATATGGAGCAGGTCTTCTAGCAAAGGAAAGAATTAAAAAACAATAAGCTAAAATCATGACTAAGAAAGCTATCTTTCTATGCTTTGAAGTTTACTGGACCACCTGCAAGCAAGAAGGAATTCTGCAATATGTAGAACTGCTCAGTTTGTTAAGTGCATGATAGGTCTCGTTTTCCTCTGAAACTTCATCTATTGGGTACTGCCGGAGGCAACAAACCCAGCTCAACAATTGAGGTTGATAATGAATATATAAGGCTGCTGCTGGAAACAATGTGCCCTCCTGCACACCCTCGGTAGCATCCAGGTGCCCCTCAGCATAGCCTACTTGCCAGTGAGAAACTTGCAGCTATATTTTTAAGCCATCAAAATGCAAAGCATCATGTGCATTTCTTGCACTAATATAAGAATTTTCCTAATAAGATTGAGGATTTTGCATAGCAATGAAGCAGTTTAAGTAAATGGCTCCTAGGGTCAAGAGTTCACATCGCTTCTTATCTTTTTATTTTAATTAAATGATTGCTTTAGAACTTTACTTGTCTTGTACAACCAAAGAACTTGGAAATTACACTGCCCTGCCTATTGTCCAAAACGTGCTCTCTCTTTAAGAACATCTCACCCATGTGGGGATTTCTATCTATCCAAAGAAAAAGACATGAGATTCTGAAACAACTACACTGAAATGTTTATAAATTGTTCTGATAATTAAAGTATACACTAATAACCATATAGTCATACTATCTCCAAAACTTTGCACCTCCTCTTTTTTTGGTGGCAGACAAAAAAGCCAACAAAATGCTGGGCATCATGAGGAAAGGTACCAAGACCATCACATGGGGTATAGTCTTAGTGCTACCAGAAACCTGGGTGGGACCAAGCCTTGACTGCTACGAGCAGTTCTGGTCTCAGCTCAGGATGGGCAGTTCAAATAGCCAAGTGAATGGAGCCACCGCTGTTCAGGAGAGGCAAAAAATGTCAGAGACTGGTTGGTTTGGAGAGGAGGAGCTTGGGGGAGGCTACAGCTGAGTTTTACAGAATGATGGTTAAATTGAAAGCACAACTTCTTCCTGCAATACCAGATCTAGACAGCAGTCAGTAAAAGCAATACCAAACTTTACAACAGGCAAAAAGAGCACCCTAGGAGGATACATCCATGTGTGGTGTCCCTCAGGAACACAAGGTGAAGCAAGTGGCCAGGTTAGTTTCCCTAAACTGCATCTCCTCTCTCCATTGCCCGTGACAGATCGCTGGGCTGGACAGCACCTCTTATGTCTTTGAAACTCTCCATTATACTTTGTGAGCCTAAAAGGCTCATTTCTTAGTTTCTTCTAGTTATTGTTAAAAAAAATGCACAATGCTTGGTGAGGGGACATCCACACATTTTTTTTTTTTTTTTGAGTGGCAGTTGCACTAAAACAACAGCACGGGGGGGGGGGGGGAAATACAGTTGTGAAGTTGGCTGGTGAGATGCAGCCAGTCCTTCTTCAGGGCACCTGCTAAGGCCAGGGCAGGCAGCTGTGGGGTAACAGCGTCACCCAGCCAATTTAGTCTGCTCCAGATGCAGCAATAGCTACTGAAACATTTTATGAATTAAGTCCTTAGAAATCATCACTGCAATGAAATCCAATTTGTCTAATTAAATTATTGTAAAAGGCAGAACCTTAAACAGCTCAAATTCCCCTCTGACAGGACTGTCACCTATTGCGTCCTCCGTGCCTCCCTAAGACATGTCTGGACTTCCCGAAGTCCGGATCATCCGAACACTAATTAGCTTTCATAGCTACACCAAAGCCTGACATTTGCATTTCTGAAGCGAAAGGCATGAAGGTAATTTACTGCCAGAACCACACAATGGAACCAGACTTCAGCAGCAACTGTGGTGCTGCAAAGCTTAAAGAAGACAAACATCAGGGACTGCTTATAGAACTGAACCACAACTGTTGCACAAGGGGGGAAACAACCTCTTAAAGTGAAGTAGAGGAGAAAGATGAATTACATAGATTTAAAAAAAAAAAAGGGGGGGAAAGTAACCGTATATGCTCTTATCCTATTTAACTCTAGCACTTGGGGGGGGGGGGGGGGGGGAGAGAGAAAAAAAAAATCAGCTTTAATTTTCTGTTTTAAATACAAATATATATGCACACAGAGATATACACACACACGTTCCCGGATATATGCTTATGGTGTCACTGCCGGGGAGAGCACAACACGGGACAGCGAGGCCTGCCCGGCCCCGCCGCGCCGCGCTCCGCCCCGCTCGGAGCCGGCCCCGATCACCGATCCCCGGCTCCTGCCGCCGCCGTCGCCTCCTCCCCTCCCTCCCTCCGTCTCTCCTTACCGCGGCTGCGGGGCCGCTCTCCCCCGCCTTCCCCCGGCAGCTCCGCCCGGGCCTCCCCCGGCGGCGGCACGGAGCGGGGACTTCCCTGCCGCATTCACCTGGAGGTGACGTCCCAAACCTTTGGCTTCCTGCTGTTATAACTGTTTTTTAAGGACGGGCCCTGCGGCTCCAGGGCTGCGCTTTCGGCGTGGTGAGGACGAAAAGGGTTCCTGAGTTCGTATGGCTTTCTCAGAGGCTTGGAGCAGTGGAGCTCAGGTTTCTCGGTGTATTGAATGGCCTCATAGAGTCACCTCCTTTTTCAGCAGCTGTGCGATATTCTGAAAAATACAGAAATGTCACAAAATGTGCGTTTAGTAGATTTTTGCATAAAAGTGAAGTCCAGAGAATTTAAAAATAGTTTATTTCTTTAATTTTAGGCATGTAAAATCCAGCGTCTTGCGACGTCCAAACGTCACCAGTCAAGTTTAGAATCTACCCCAAACCTCCTGTTTTTCATGGTGTTGAAGGGAAACACAACTATTCTTCTTGTCTGACATTGTGGTAAAAAGTAAATAGGAC